ATTCTTGTAATGCATAAATGAGAATTATATTTAGATTTTAGCATCTTAAGCTGGAAAAGAGAGTTTTGGATTCAATTAGAACTAAGCTGCTACAATTTAAATTCTACAAAGCACTAGTTTTTTAATTAAGAAATTTGTATTTATAATATATGCAAATTAGGTACTTGATTCATTACTTAGATCCAAATATTCAAGATGGGAGTATCTTAACCCCATACAAACCAACTTACTTGGATGGAATAGAACATATATTGGGGAACATTCTCAAAATCATTGCAAAAATGTGTTTGAAGTTCATTTCTACTGAGTATATCTTTTTAACTGTACCATGTCATTTCTGTTATTTTTTGGGGAGATGAGGAAGGTAGAAACAAAATGTTATAGTGAGAGAGTGATTGGAATAGGGAGCTACTGGAAATCCTGCCAGAGAAATTACTGTGGGAGATTTGTGAAATTACTGTGGCTGATTTCTAGACATGGATTGTTTAGCTAAAGTCGAATAACTTCAGAGAAATATCTGTGTTGTGTAGTGTTTACCTGAAACACCAAAAACATTGGCAGTTCTCTCATCCCTCCCCTAATTTTCGCCAAAGTAAACCTATGAGAGTTATCTTCTTCACTAGAGTTGCAGACTTCTGGTTTGCAATTCTGTGAGTTTTCAAAAAGCATATGTCATGTGATTCTTTGCGACTGAAAGGCAAACATATGCCTTTTAAAATTGATTTATCTAATGTCCAATACCTCATTTGGAGTATATCTGCCCTTCCTCTGACTCTCCCTCAGATCACCCACCAGATACCCAAATCCTACATTAAATTCTCTTTTTAGGGGGGAGAGGAGAAAATTTTAAAAATCTCATTTTTATTTAATTATTGATAAATTATAAATATTTATAGTTCTGGGTACAACATGATGTTATGATACATGTGTTCAGCTTGAAATAATTTAATCAAGAGAATTAATACATCCACATTTTAATATTTATCATTTTTTAAACTTCTCCACTCCCTCCATCCCCAGCCCCTATTAACCACCAACTCATGCTCTTCTTTTACCGTTACAATTGGTTTAGATTCTGCATAACGTGAGAACATTGCCCTCTTTTTTTTTTAACTTTTATTTAATGAATATAAATTTCCAAAGTACAGCTTATGGATTACAATGGCTCCCCCCCATAACTTCCCTCCCACCCACAACCCTCCCCTTTCCCGCTCCCTCTCCCCTTCCATTCACATCAAGATTCATTTTCAATTCTCTTTATATACAGAAGATCAGTTTAGTATATATTAGGTAAAGATTTCAACAGTTTGCACCCACATAGAAACACAAAGCGAACAATAATGTTTGAGTACAAGTTATAGCATTAAATCACAATGTACAGCACATTAAGGACAAAGATCCTACATGAGGAGTAAGTGCACAGTGACTCCTGTTGTTGACTTAACAAATTGACACTCTTGTTTATGGCATCAGTAATGAGAACAATGCCCTCTATTTTTCTGAGTTTTCTTTGTTTCATTTATCATAATGGATTCCATATAAGTTCATTCATATTGTCACAAATGTCAGCATGCTTCCCTTTTAAAACTGAATAATATTGCATTGAGTATATATACCACCTTTTCTTTATCATTTATCCATTGATGGATACTTAAGTTGATTCCTTAATTTGGCTTATGTGAATAATGTTGCAATGAAATGGGTGCAGATAACTTTACAATACACTGTTTTTAAGTTGTTATGACATATATCCAGAACTGGGATGTCTGGATCTGAATTCTTTCTAATTTACTCTTATCAAACATCCCATTGTTTGTCACTGTCTATGCAGTCCCTTGCTGCATTGAACGGTACTGACAATATTGTCTTTGTTTGGGAGTGAAGAATTGGTGGTTTTCCTTACAAGACACACTTAGGAGGTGGTAGTGCTGGGTTTGTCCAGCCTGGGTTCACAGGCTCTTCCTAAAGCACACGTAAGCATTGGTTTAATGGGAAACATAGACTTTTTCCAGAGACAAGAGTTACATTATAGGAAGAGGCCATAGAAGGAAAGAGGAGGATATATACAAATTTAAGGAATTCTTACTGCAAGATACACCAACAGCAACAACAAAAATCTGAAGAAGAAAGAGCAGAAGTAGAATAAGGAGAAAATGACACTGAGTAGCCAAACTATGACAGCCAAAGGTTGCAGGGAGAAAAAAATGTCTATCAGATTAACAACTGGGAGTTGTTTGAGAATTCTGGGAGAGAAGTAGGGGAAGAAGTCAACATCTATAGGGACTGAAGAATATGTAGAGGGCAAAGAGGTGGCATAGACCATTAACTGAAGGAAGAGAGAGACTGATGGGCTAGAAACAAAGAGGGTGGAAGCCAAGGCTTTTCTTTCTATGTTGTAAAGGAAGAGAAAACTTCAGCAGGTGCATGGATGATGGAGGAAGAGAAAGGAAAGAGTGAGGCTAAAGACAGAGAGTGGTGGTACAGAAAGGAGTGGGTATCTGAAGAGAGAGGAGGAAAATTATACTAGGACTCATGTGGAAAGAGGAACCTTCTACAGAGAAAAACCAGCTCTTCACTGGGGGTATAAAGAGGCTATAATTCAGGAATAGATCATTTTGTCTGAGTGCAGATGGGGACTTGTGGGGTCCTGTCACTGTGGCGTGGTAGGCTAAGCCTCTGCTTGTGGTGCCGGCATCCCATATGGGTGCCAGTTCATATCCTGGCTGCTCCTCTTCCTATCCAGCTCTCTGCTATGGGTTGGGAAAGCAGTGGAAGATGGCCAGGCCACTGCACTTGCATAGGAGACCCAGAGAAAGCTCCTGGCTCCTGGCTTCAGATTGGCCCAGCTCCAGCCATTGAGGCCATCTGGGAAGAGAACTGGTGGATGGATGGCAGACCTTTCTCTCTGTCTTCCTCTCTTTGTAACTCTACCTCTCAAATAAATACATCTTTTTTTTTTTTAAGAAAAGGACAAGTGGGAAGTTGTATGAATTTCTATCTGATGGTCCCCATTCTTTTTCTGACACTGAAATGAAAGGTATCTATCTACTAGGACTTGGAGGATACAAGAAATAGGGGCTGTTGGAAAACAGTAGAGACTTTTTACTAAAGATTTGATTTTTCCCTTCTTTCCTTATGCAGATATTTTTGCTCACAAGGTAGAAGAATAAGGCTGCTAGAATTAAATTTAATGTGTAAATTTAATCTATTTAAAAGCTTCTACCAACAGCACAAACTCTGAGGGTGAAATCACTTGGGCCAGTTACCTGTGTACACTCACTGTCAGGATGTGATTTGGGGTTGCCAAGACTTCTTTGGTGCCATCAGAGCCTCAGAGCCACCCCCACGGTGACTCAGGTAGCCTTGCAGCAGTGAGCACGGAATGTGAGGAAAATAATGCCTCTGTCTCTTCAAGATACACCGGAGTGAAAAATACACTACTACACGCAAGAGTGATAACCAGGGCATCAGTAAATTATCTCATTTAACTCATTTAAACTTGGCATCAAGGGAATTGCCCAGCTTTTCTATAACTTAGCATCACCATCCTGTGATTTGAAAACTATTCAAAAGGATGAAATTAGGTCCCAGGCTATGTTTACACATGCTAGCTTACTCAGCATTTTAATTGCAAGCCTATGGGAATTTGTTGCCATCCATTGTCTTAGGCAACAATATAACATGAAAAAATGTCATAGGAACAAAGTTTTCATCATACTTCAATCAAACCATCACTGAGTATAGGATAAAATGACATACATTTGTGCTGAAACCCACATCATGCTGTTAGATAGGATTTAGGACATATAAATTAAATAATATAAATAATATAGGACATATAAATTAAATTTGCATTTCTTATAAATAAAAAGTAACTTTTAGGATTAAGTATACACTAAATATTGCAGGGGATATAATTATGTGAATATTATATTTGTTCTTTACCTTAAATTCAAATTTAACTGAGCAACCTGTGTTTCTGTTTTGCTTTGCTTTTTGCTGCCTGTGATTGCTGTATATGTGTCATTGTTCACAAACTGGGACTCATGAGTGTAGAACTCATGTGGTGTTGTGCTTGGCTGACGGACTCTTACTGATACCTGTCTGAATATGCTCCTGAAAGAAATGTATGCTCTGATCAGATCACAAATATGTGGATCCAACACTGTGATTTTTCCTTTTAAAATATTACTATGAGTAAAACATCGAGTTGGAAGATTTTAGATCCCTATTTTGTTTCTGAGATTATTACAAGTATCTCCAACCTGAGGTACCCAAAGTTACAAGGATCTCAAAAGGAGAATTCAGAGCAGCCGCACCAGCACACATGATTGTTTATAAAGATCTACTGCAGCACTAGAAGTGAAGCCACCATAAGTTATTAAGAGGCAGATTCTATCATTCCTTCCCGTTGCTTGGACAGTCTAAACATGCTCATTCTAAAGTGAATTGTTCTGGTTTACTTCACCTCACTGAAACACAAACATACATACACACACAGAGTCATAGAACTCAGGAATTTTGACTCATCATAATATGTGTTTAGATACAGAGCAGAAGCCTTTAAGCAATGTGCCCCAGGAGGCTGCAAATGTAGGAAATCTTATTTACAATCTGTCTTCATGGCCAGGCCATGCAGTAGGCATGAAACATAGTTTCGCTAGTGTCATACAGGTTTCCTTTTTCCTAAATGGTGACACAACTGAAGCCTATTCTGCATTTTCTCCTCATCTTTTGAATTCTTGACCTTTCTTCTAGTTTGATGAAAGTCATGTCCTTTTCTTTAACACTCACCCATTCTGAAACCAAAGCTTTTGCCTTCCTGCCCACATCAACAGCTGCTCTCAGAATTTTATGTGAAATCTGTTCACTCAGAAGTGTGAGTGTTTTATAAAATGAAAAATGGCAGCTTATTTTCATACATTCCCCCAAACATACTGACAAAAGAAAGAATCTCAAATTCTGAAGAAGGCATCTATTAGTCACCTGGAGGTGGGGATGAGCTACAGGGAAGAAGTCTTTCAAGGTTTCAGTAGATCTTACTCAGGTGGTTTAATATTGCTTCTCCAACACTGGCTCCAATCAAGGTCTTTGGTAAAGACATATTTGGTACAAACATATGCTCAGCTGCTTTTGTTTCTGACTTGTTCTATTGCTGTTTCATTGGCCATGCCGCATGACCAGGTATTTGCTTCTGATGCTCAAGTTCTGCATGCGCCTGCTGGTTAGAGAAAGTGGTGTTAGGACGTTAGTTACTCAGCCAGACCTGTGAGCCCAGCATGCCGAGATGCAAACAACTATTAGGTTCACAGGGTGGAAAGAGAATAAGATGCATAAACAACTCATGACTGATCCAGAGTCACTACCAGTGACAGAAATGAAAATAAAATATAGATCTGCTAATTATCTAGTTTAGTTCTCACTTTAAAGACTAACAACTTACATTTACCTGGACATTTATCAAAACATACAGCAAGCTAAAAAGTGATTTCTCAAAGAGTAAGGCATGGCAGAATGAGAATATTTTAAGCAAATAAAATGAAACCATTTAGAGTAATATTTTAGGTTAGTCAGAAATGCAACTATTTTAACCAGTGCATTTAATTACAGATAATTTTACAATTAAAACTTATCTTTGTTCTGAATAAATAATAGCCAAACTTTGCTAATATAGATTAGGGCCCAGGCAATTGGACTCACATTTAAAGAAATGTCCAGATTTGTCATTAATTAAGTTGAAATTATTACAAACAGTCTTTTTTCCTTTAGTAATGATTAAGAATGGCACGTTGCTCAGAGTGAACGAACGAAGAGCAGGTATGCTGTCTTATGATTAGAGAGCAAGACTGGGAGCCAGAACTTGTGAGCCTAATTAGAGAATTTCGTATAGTGCTTTGAAGATGAAAAGAACTATAAAATCCCAAAGAATACTGATATTGCCAGTCTCATTCTTAGTTCATCCACTTGCTGTGTGGTCTTGAGAGAGAGAGAAAAAATAAAAGAGCAATCACTTTCGAACATAAGGACACAAGGATATATTTTACTCCCATCTGTTTTATTTTTTTGTTTTAAATATAAGCCTAACTAGGAACTAAACAGACATAGAATAATTTTGACACCTTATAAGTGTATTATAAGGGAAGGCACTTGGTGCAGCAGTAAGAAAGCTGCTTGGAATGCCAGAACCCAATATCTAAGTGCCCGGTTCAATCCCCAGCTACTCTGTTTCTGATTCAACGTCCTGGTAATGTGCTCCACTGGAGACAGCAGGTGATGATTCAAGTGCTTGAGTCCCTGCCACCGATGTCAGAGATGGGGATAGAGTTCCTGGTTCTTGGCCTCAGCCTGGCTCTGTCCTGGCTGTTGTGAGCATTTGGGGAAGTGAACCAGTCAATGGAAGATCTCTTTCTGTCTTTCTATCTGTGTCTCTCTGCCTTTGAAATAAAGTGAAAATTAAAGAAGAAAACAAAAGAGTTATAAAGCACAGAACTACGGAATTTTTAAAAACATGTATTTTACGGTGTTTTTATCCATATAGACATTTACCTGGAAAATTATAACTACGTTTCACTTATTTCCACTTTTTAAATATTTGAAAAATACAGGCAGGCCTCAGTTGTTGCCATAAGATCTTCCTTGTGCTGACCCCAAAAGTTTGATGTTTCATAAAAATTACCTGGTCATTTATGAAAAATACGGACATCAGAGCTGTTAGTCTGAAGAACGCCAGTTTGAGAACAAGGTACTAGAGACTCCTCTGAAACCAATCGTGAGAGTAGCCATGTGGCCCGAACTGCAATCCAGATATGCAAGTTTGTTGTCTTCATTTGCTTGCAGGGTGCTTAAGGTTTCAATATTTGAACAAAAGCATTGTGCTGCCTGACTGTTGATTTCTACAAAAACAGTGAAATAAGAGGTATTAAAAGTGGGAAAATTTGCAGAAAAAGGCATGTTTCCTCAAAACTTCCAGCCATCTCAGACATACCAATGCCTTTAGATATTTACTTACATTTCACACTCACTTTTGATAGTTTTTAATAGCCCTGAGTCAGCAGACCTGCTGTCCCTTAGCAATAGAAAACTCGCCTTCCCACTCTGGTCAACTGTCTGGCAGATGACTCTAATTTTTCAAAGAGGCAAACTGGAATATAACTTGGATGAAATGATCTAAGTAGGTGCTTTCTTTTGAGATAAATATTCCCAAGATCATATCCTACTGGTGGTGAGTCAGAAGCATCAATGTCTGGAGATGGTAACTACTCAGCACATTGCAACACATGTGCATTATGGGTATCCTCATAGAATGCAAATGGGCTTTGAAACTACGCGTGAAGCTCTGCATGTCCAAGACCACATGCTCCTGGCTTTAGTGAGCACCTACCGTGGCAATTGAGAGTGACGGCATTCACAAGCTGCACAGGAGGCAAGTTTGCTTTCAAGCATGGTGCTCGTGTGTGTCCTGACCAGAGGAATCCAGGTTCACATGTTGTAATGCTTCCAAGAGCAGTAGGCTGATATCAAAGACACATCACCGACTCAGGGAATTGTGGCAGTCCTTCAAGGAGCAGGATTGTAACAAACTCCTCAACACAGCATGAGGAGATGCTTGCTTGGTTGCTACCGGCTTTGTTTGTGCTTCAGAGAGGAGTATGCGGAGCTGGTAAACAGCCAGGCTGGAGAGCAGTCAGGGAGAGGAGTTTCAGAGTTGATAAGAACATGCATACATCATAATGGTTTTTAAAGCACAGTAAGAGAAAATGCTTTATACTATATGGTAAACTATGCTTTATACTGAATAGTAAACCAAGTTCCTTGTTTTCAGAGCTATTAAACAAGAGCAACAAAAATATTCAAAAACCTCTTGGAGCTATTTTCTATGTGTACGTGTGTGTGTGTGTGTGTGTGTGTAGTGTACGTGTGTCTGATGGTTGTGGAGTGACACAGAGAGAGAGGAGAATGTTCTAGTAGTAAGATGTCAATCAACATAACTCAGTACAGAACACTATTTCTGATTTGCCTTAGTGCACAGTAGGAATAGTGGCAATAGATTTGGTGGACTGAAAGAATTAAGATAGAAGTGAAATCAAGCTAAAGAAAATACTGTCTAACAGTGCCACGGCTCACTAGGCTAATCTTCCGCCTTGCGGCGCCGGAGCACCAGGTTCCAGTCCCGGTCGGGGTGCCGGATTCTGTCCCGGTTGCCCCTCTTCCAGGCCAGCTCTCTGCTGTGACCAGGGAGTGCAGTGGAGGATGGCCCGGGTGCTTGGGCCCTGCACCCCATGGGAGAGCAGGAGAAGCACCTGGCTCCTGCCTTCGGATCAACGTGGTGCACCGGCCGCAGCATGCCGGCTGTGGCGGCCATTGGAGGGTGAACCAACAGCAAAGGAATACCTTTCTCTCTGTCTCTCTCTGTCTCTCTCTCTCACTGTCCACTCTGCCTGTCAAAAAAAAAAAGAAAAAGAAAAAAAGAAAAAAAAAAGAAAATGCATTCCCTTATCTCTCCGCTTCTTGGAACAGATGATAACAACAGCATTAGTGAAATACTAGAGTTATTCTTTCATGAAGAGATTTCACTTTGAGAAAGAGGGCTTTTCTAAACTGTGGCAGGAGCTGAACATTTCCAAAACGCAAACTCAATTGCATATAATCAACTCGATTTACAGTGTTACCTAGCAACTTATTAGAAAAGCAACCCAGTAGATATAAACGGCCTTCTATGTCATTTTTTCTTTCCTTGTTTGTAGGTTTAAAAACTTTTCATTTTTATTTTGCTTTATTTTTTTTAAAGATCTATTTATTTGAAAGGCAGAAAGAGATTGAGGGAGAGGGAGAGGAAGACACACACACACACACACACACAGAGTGATTCACATCTCAATGCGGGGGATAGGCCAATCTGAAGGCAGAACCAGGAACTCCATCGAGGTCTCCCATGCAGGTGTCAGGAACACAGGTACTTGAGCTGTCATTCACTGCTCCCTGAGGGCATTAGTAGAAAGCTGGACTGGATGTGTGGAGTACCCAGGACTTGAACCAAGCACTCTGATATGGGATACAGGTGGTCTACCCCTAAAATTTTAATTTCGACTGAAACATAAATATTTGTGGGGTACCATGTGATGTCACTATGTGGTATACACTGCATACATTCCAATCAGTGCAATCCATATCTATCTCCCAATACATCCTCATTGTCTACGGTCACTGTATTTTGCAATAGAACACCAATACTTCATATAATCATAATTTAGTACCCATTAATCAACAATCCCTACCCCTTCCTTCCCCTTATATTCCCCAGTCTGGTGGAGACAGTCCCTTAGCCAGCTGGCTAAGGAGACTCCAAAATCTCAGACTGTGGGTGTGGACCCGGGTGCAGAATCTACGGGGTCCCGTCACATACTGATTTGTACTGTGTTGCGGCTGGTACTGGATTTCAAGTCTAAGACCTGAACTTAACTACTCTCCCTTTTCACAGTGGGAACTGCGGTATCTCTCTCCATGCTGTATCACTTGGAGCTCAGGGAGGGATGATATAGGCTGTTTCTTTTTGCTTTCTTTTGTTACATGCTTTCTTTGTATTATACCAAACCCTGGCACAGTGGTCACTCCCCTGGCTTTGCCCTTGTGGAGGTAGCTCGGTACATGAATAGATCCTTTTACTGGAGGATGATCGCCTGAGTGTCTTAGCTGCCATCTTGGCAGAACTTGGAGGTGGTTTTCAGCTGTGACATCACTCAGTCGTTGTGAATTGCCTTATCCTCTGGAATCCGGCTGGATGTGTAATGTGATTAGGGTAAAAGCTTCAGTTGTGGGTGCTCTGTTTGGTGCTAGAGATGTAGACCCAGTTAATGGTGTTTTGTTAGTTTGTTTTTTAATGAACTTCTGTGTCCAGGCTTCAATTTCTGACCTTAGCTGAGGATCCCAGGTAAGGATATTGTGTCTCTGAGTATATATGAGTTGCACTTTAAAAGTTCACAGAAATTAAGAAATATTATGAAATCATTATTAGAAAATTAAATTTAAATAGTCAGGATTATTATGCAAAACTCTGTGTAGATTTTGAAATATTTTGCCTTAAAGCATCTTATCTTTTAATTCTCTTTTTTCCATGAACTTTTTGAAGCGTTCTGGTATGTGTGTTTCTACATATGTAGCTATAATCAAGTCACTCTGTGTAGTCATTCCACTGAAGCACCTGTCTTCTCCCAGAAACACTCTGCCTGTTACTAGAAGTTGATCATAAGATCAAAGTTCCATTCTCTAAGGAGGGGATTCCAATCCTAACTATCAATTAAGATTGGGCATTGTTCCACAGTAACAGAGACTCAAATATAGTGAACTAAGTAACACCAAATATATTTATTTCTAAAGCAATTCCAGAGGGAATAATGATATAAATTTGAAGAGCATAATTAGCCTTTATATAACTATTTGAAAGTCCTAAAATATTTGAAAGAATAAAAATGAACTATTTCAAGGAAGGAGACCAAAAGCATGCTGAAACTGGTGAAAAGTGAATGACTGGGAGAAGGAAACCATATTGGGATATAATCATGTTTATATAGCTTGTCCCTTGAGGGTAGTCTCCAGTTCTCAAGCTACAACATGTAGAAGTCACACAGAAAGTTCAATCTTATTGGTTTGGGATATCTAGAGGATAGAGTTCAGGATATCTACAATATTTAGTAATGAAGGAGGGAAATATTAAATTGAAGGAAAAATGAGAGGACAGAAACTTCACAAATCTGCATTAAAATGATTATAAATTTTGACTGGCACTGTGGATTCATAGGAGAATATAGGGAGGCCCACAGGAAAACTAAAAGAACTAGGTGTGTGTTTCAGCTATTGCACAACCATAGGGAAGCTTGAGTTTGCAGTTTGAGTCCTGCCAATTCAGAATGACTTGGTGAGCATCCAGGAAGTCATTCAAATTCCAGCCAGGTTATTCTTAAGGAATAAGGTCTTTGTACTAGGGTTAAGGAATTTACTTTGGAACAAGAACAAAACTAATACAGAGTCCCATGAGCAAAGTTAGAATCACCATTCTACTATATATAGTTATTGATTATTCAAAAATTTAATTACCTACTGGAGCAAAAATTAACACTTTTCTGAGGAATCCATAAAGTTTCTATAATTCAGAATTTCTAATGAGTATCATCCACAATTTCAAGAACAAAATGAAAATAATTAGACATATGAATACACACAAAAATGTGGTCAACATTCAAAAGAAAAATACTCAATAGAAAGAGACTTAAGATCAAGATGTTGGAAATAGCAGATAGGAATAAAAAAGAAAGCAAAAAACAGTGAACAGATGGGAAATTCCAATAGAAATGCTAAAAGCAGTAAAGAAAAAAAATGAAGGGAAAATTCTAAGAGTGAGAAGTACAGAATTGGATATGAATAATTTCTTGCAATAGGTTTAATAACCTTAGGAAACTAATCTACTCTCCTCTCTGCCAACCCTTGTACAGCTGCTTCTAGCACCAGGATTCTAGGATCAAATAAGGATCTTTGGCCTAGGACTCCATTTGTATCATTCAAATGCTTTCATATTTTAACTCTAGCCAATCTGATCTGATATCCATTGATTGTAAATTGTATCATATAACTTTCCTTAAAAGACATGTTTCTGAAAGATTGAGTGAAATATGAAATTACATATTAAATATGGAAGAAAATTAACAACTATGGTTAAAAGAATGTGATCACTTCATTTGCCAAGGTACATTCAAATTCTGCTAGTTTTTTTAATCATCACTCATTAGGAAATCTGGGAATATTTATCGGACATAGTAGCTCAATGTAACCAAAAAATAGTGTGTGGAATCAGGCAATATACTAGTGCTATGTTTTGGTGGGTCAGTTAAAACTTTAGCACAATATGAATCAAAGGGACTGACACTGTGGCGTGGAGTAGTAGGTTAAGCCTCCGCCTGCAGTGCCAGCATTCCATATGGGCACTGGTTCTTGTTCTGGCTGTTCCACTTCCAATCCAGCTCTCTGCTATGGCCTGGGAAAGCAGCAGAAGATGGCCCAAGTGCATGGCTCCCTGAAACCACATGAGAGACCCCACAGAAGCTCATGGCTCCTGGCTTTGGATCAGCTTAGTTCCTGCCATTGAGACCATTATGGGAGTGAGCCAGTGGATGGAAGACCTCTCTCGCTGTCTCTGTCTCTCCCTCTCTCTGTCTGTAACTTGTCCTCTCAAGTAAATAAATAAATCTTTAAAAAAAATAAAGATGAATCACAGATTTAGAATCAGCAATAGAGGCTAGGCATTTGGTGCATCAGCTAAGAAACTGCTTGGGATGAGCACATCCCACGCACATCAGAATGCGTATGTTCAAGCCCTGACTCTGCTCCTAATTCCAGCTTCTGTCAATCACTAGAGAAAGCAATTGGGTCCTTGCCACCTAGTCAGGACTCAGTTTCTGGCTGCAGTCTTCTACCTGGCTTAGCCTTAGTCGCTGAAGGCATTTGGGGATAACCACTGGATAGGAGGTTTCATTTCTCTGCCTGGTCTCTCTCTGTGTCTCTTAGCTTTTCAAGGAAAAGGAAACAGATAATTTAATAGTTTAACAAGACAAGAACATCACTGTGTTAGCTTTTCATTACTGAAAAGTGCTTCCTGGGAAATAAAAGTTTTATTTTGGATTATAG